CCATGCCTAGGACTTTGATGTTTTCAGCCTTCATTTGCCCTCACCAATGGTTCACAGCCCACGTTCCCAACCTGGAGGCTGGCAGGGAGAGTTACAGACACTCAGATATCCCTCAGCTGCCTCTGTGCACCAACATGCTTCATCACCCAGGCCTGCTCCTTCAGTGCCCTTCAGAAGTGCCCGTAGTGTTTTGTTTTTGCTAAAACCCTCTGCTCGTGAGATCTGGGGCCACTTTGTGAACCCTGGGAGTGCTGTAGACTGAAGCCTTTAGCTTGGCCTCTTTGTCTCTAAGCAGAGTCAAATCTAATTCTATTTCCCTTTTAAAAATGTTTTCTGCCAAGCTCCCAAAGGCCAAAGCTGGAACAATTTGAGCAACAAAATAAGTAATGAGAGTATTGGATTATAACCTATAGAATAAAATAAATACCCATTAGTGCATACTCACATAAATAAATAATTGAATACATTAGTAAATGGGGACAGTAGTATTCTAATCAATACCTGTAGAAGGAATGAGAGGAATTGAAAATCACAGTTGAGCAAACACTGCAGTAATAATTGCTTCAGATGACATCCACTGATGGCTGCTAAAATTAGTGGGCCAAAGTTTGAAGAGAAACAGGATATTTGTACAAAGTCTCTCTCCTCAGATTATTAATTGCAAATGGAAAAATAGTAACTTTATAGGGAAGAAACCTGCAGCCACCACCTTTACCACATGGTCAAGGTTAATATCACCAGTAGTAAAACATATGGACATTATATGCTCTGAGATGGTGTAGTCGTCAGGATTCTTCAGAGAAACAGAACCAATAAGATATAAAGAGATTTATTATAAGGAATTGGCTCACATGATTATGGAGGCAGACAAGTTCCAAGATACTCAGAGTAAGTTGGCAAGCTGGAGACCCAGGAGAGCCGATGATATAGTTCTAGTCTGATGCCAGAAGCCTAAGGCCCAGGAGAACTGTCGGTGTGGGTCCAGTCTGAAGGTTGGCAGGCTTGAGATCCAGGAGGAGGCAGTTGTTTCAGTCTGAGTCCTGAGGCAGGAAAAAGCCAATGTCCTTATCTGAAGGCAGTCAGGCAGAGGGAATTCTTTCTTACTCAGGAGAGGCTCAGCCTTTTTGTTCTATTTAGGCCTTCACCTGATTGCAGTTTGCTTTACTCAAATGCCTATTCCATCCAGAAACACCTTCACGGACACACTCAGAATATTGTTTGAAGAAATATCAGGGCACCTGATGGCCCAGTCAAGTTGATGGGTAAAATTAACCATAAAAGGACAATACATTATTATTATACTTGCCCAAAACGCATGACCTAATCTAATCATTAGACAACCTTAAACAAGCCAATACTGATGGACATTTTAAAAAATAACTGACCCGTATTCTTTAAAAGTGTTAATGTTTTGAAAGACAAGGAAAGACAAAGGAACTTTCACAGATTGGAAAACTTTCATGGACCAAGGAGACGTGACAACTAAGTGCAGTGTGGGATCCTAGAACACAAAAGGACATTAGTTGAAAAACTAATAAAATTTGAATAAAGTCTATAGTGCAGTTAATAGTATTATAGTAATGGTTAATTTCTGAGTTTTAATAAATGTACTGTGGTTATGTAAGATGTTAACATTATCGGAAACTGGTTGAAGGGTGTATAGGAACTGTGCTATTTTTGCAAGTTTTCTGTAAGTCTAAAATTATTTCAAAATAAAAGTTTAGAAAAGCTTTTTGCCAGCAGGTTCTCTGAGGACTTTTTAATGACAGAGGATATTTATATATTCCTTACGTTTATAATTGTCTCATATGTGTATAATTTTGCATCTACCACTTAACATTTTCCAGATACTAAATTCTATCCATATTTTTTGCAAGCACCTTTAAAAACCCTCTGATTTCTGTTCTTTTTCCTCCTTTCTGTATTCTGTACTCTTTCCTGACCAAAGCATCCTTTTGTACTTCACGGCTCAGCCTTCCTCCTGCTGTTCCATGAGGTCTTTATCTCTGAGATGAAGGTCCATGTGGCATATTGTAGAGACAGTGCACTGGCCAGAAGTCAGGGGACCTGATGCCAGCATTCTCAGTCTGGTTCTGTTACTAACTCACCCAGTGTCCTTTCAGTTTTAACGTTCTGAGACCAAATGGCAAATTTTGGCTAAATGCTATATGCACTAGTTGACTATGGGTTCAAATGATTATTTTTTTTTTCTTTTTATCAAGATCCTATATACTCTGTTTTTAGGTTTTCCAAATTTTTTATCCGTATATATTTTTTTCATCATGCCCCCAAAGTCTGTGGATTCTACCACAGATTTCACAATTGGGTCCTTCAAGGAGCAGCATTTTCTTTCTTCCTATTTATGCATGCATGTATGTGTGTTCAGGAAGCCATTGTTGCTTTTTAATTTTTTTTTAAACTTTGTTTTCTTCTATCTCAAGCTATGTATAGCCCCTGTCACAATAGCTCTAAAGCCCTCTGTGGCATCTATTTTGTGGGCTAGCCTGTGTTTGGACCTTGAATGGGTCGAGCCGTGGCACAATCCCATAGGGAGGATTATTTGGCTAGCAGCTGATATACCCCCTCCCACCCTAGCAGGACCGCACAAGAACTCCAGGGCAGGGTCCCTCTGCTCACCTGCACCAGCTTAGTAGCAGGGGTATGGCGGAGGCATGGAGCCAGCAGGATACAACATTAGGAAGTAATTCACACTCTCGAGAACTGATGACATCTAGTTTTTCTTTGCTATTTTCGCCCAGTTATTATTTTATCCCTGTATTTATTCCCAGTATTAATAGGCTTAGATCCTGGGGTAAGACTCTAATAATGGAGAAGTTGGTTGACAATGGGAAACATCTGAGGCTCTAACATGGATGACTTGATTGTCCACACCAGAAAAGACAATTTGGTTAGGTTCAGCATATTGTACTAGCACAGATATTCCTTGGTCCTTATGGAATATATAGTAGAAATGATTTTTTATAAATCACTTCCAGCCTCATTTGTGCTGTATTGGTTTGTTAACTTATGTTCCCACCTCTAGTTATTTCCCCTCCTATCTCACCTGTGCACTGTCATCAGCTATTTAATTTCCTCAGCTTGCCAGCCAAGAATGGTGAAATGGGTGGGTATTCCTAGAGTACATAGAACAGGCCAGGCATGCAGTAAACATGGTATGAGAGTTTGTTAAATAAAAAGTAAGAGATGACCCTTACTTTCAAAGAGCTAACTATTTAGCTGGAAAGATAAAATGCACAAAGAAAAACAGCATGTATAGAGCATTATGGAAAACATGCTACTCAAGAGGCCTGAGAGAGAAGAGGCAGGATATATCTGCTGTGTGATATGCTCAAGTTTATTCTTCCCATTTTACAGTTCAGGAAGTTGAGGTTAACAGGCATTAAATGTCTTAAAGTCGTATGTGCAAAAGTTGGATTTGAATATAGGACCGTATGAACTGCAAGCTCCTGTTGCCACCAAAAAGCTTTGCAAGGAGGCTGGAGCTGGGCCTCCAAGGATGGATAGAATTGATCGGAAGGAGGGACGTGGCGAGCACATGTAGGTTGTGGGGGCAGGAAGGGGGCACAGCATGAGCAAAGGGGTAGCAGTGGGAAGCATAAAGTGTGCTGGGGAGAGGGGGTGGTCCCCAGGTTTGCTAGTGAAAGGGAGGAGGAGGGATAAAGCTGGAACATGAGTTGGAGGCAGCAAAATAATGGGCCTTGAATTCCAAGTTGAGTTAGGACTTTCTTTCATAACTCATTTCATAAGTCCTTGAAAGTGTTCGTGAAAGTCACATGATGAAAAGAGTGACTTGGGAGATTGAAGTGCCGATGGGCTATGGGATGGACCAGAGAAAGGGAAGGGCTATCCTGAGAGCTAATGTGCATGATGTCATTTCATCCTCACAGTAGCTCTAAGAAATAGACACGCTTAATATCTTATCTCCATTTTCCAGATGAGAAAACTGAGGCTTCAAGAGGTTAAGTGATGACCAGGTGAATAAGAGTGGTGAATAAGAGGGGATCCGACTCCAGCCATGCTGCCTCCATATGCTAGAGTGCCTGACAGTAGCCCGGAGACAATGTGCCGCAGTTTTTTTTCTTTTTTTAATTTTTAGTTCAGCATATTATGGGGGTACAAATGTTTAGGTTACGTGTGTTGCCTTGCCCCCCTTCCCCTCCTTGAGTCAGAGCTTGAAGTGTGTCCATCCCCCAGATGGTGTGCATCACACTCATTATATATGCATATACCCATCCCTCCTCCCCTCCCCCGACCTGCCTGACGCCTGATAAATGTTATTCCTATATGTGCACTTGGGTGTTGATCAGTTTAATGGGTTGGGTGTAACAGTCTGGGTGGAAAGGCCTGAACTAAGTCAGTACTGGTGGGGACAGAGAGACGGGAGCAGTGGTGTGTAATGGCCTTGCACCGGAGCCTGATGCCAGGGCTGGGTCGGTGACCTCATGGGTTCTCTTTACGTCGTGTTTCCTGTGGATGCTGGTCCTCAGTGGTGAGAACCTTGCCAGGACCATGGACTTATTAGATTTCTTGTTTCTCCTGGGGAAATGTATTTAATTTGATAATGGAGGTGTTGACGTTGGCTGTGTTTGGTTTGGGTTATTTTTGAGATGGTTTAAGAAAACTTCCAGGTGTTCTCAAGCATCACAAGCTTTAATACTATAGTTCGAGGCAAGGACGTTCTCCAGAGGTCCGTAGTGATCAGTTCTCCCTTCCCGTGAGCTCCCTTCCTTATCTGTTTATTTTGATATGTTTTGTGCTTTGCTACCCTGTGGATTATTGTATTACAGAATTGCTTAATTCATTTTACTTTTGCTCTCTATTTTTTTTTTAAGAAAAAGGGTGTCCATGCATTTATTTGAGCTCTGCAAGGCCTTTTGGTGCATAGTTCAAGAGTGTATGGTGAGAGTGTGCTGAATGCCATTGTGATCACGTGGAGCAGGTGGGCCAGCCCAGTGACCTCTCTGCTCTGTCTGCTGCAGGTGATAAGAAGTACATCATGGGGCCCAAGCTTTCCACTCTTGACGCCACCATCTTTGGACATTTGGCACAGGCAATGTGGACCTTACCAGGGACAAGACCCGAGCGGCTGATCAAAGGCAAGCCCTACAAACCTCTTCAGGGTTTCGGAGTTGCTGGGGTGTGTGGGTAGGGGTAGCACAGTGGGGAATTCTAGGCCAATGCCTTGAGCTTAGCTGTGCTTTATGGAGACACCAGGCTGTGGTGTCTGGGGCCAGGGTTGGTTTTCTGTACTGAGGGAATGCAGGGGAGGAGGAGAGACTGGGCTTCTCACCTGCCGTCTTGCCCAGTCTCTGTCCTTAGCATTGCTGACACAGATCGTGTCACGTTTCATACCAGGACTTTTCTTCCATTTCCTTACATAGTGGGACTTAAGACTTGTGGAAATAGGGCTTGAATTCTACCTGGTGCCCTTGTTTTGTTGGTCTTCCTTCATTTCCTTTGGGCTGTGGTGGTTCACCACTTTCTGGTAAATCCAGTGCTGAGGAAGCCGTGCTGAGGTGGGGCTGATGAACTCACTGCACATTTCAGATACTCTTTCTGGGTCTGAACTGGTTTTAGATATTTCGCCTGTAGGTGTAAGTACATATGATTCTGTGTCATTCAAGTTCAAGCCACTCCCTTCTCCTGTTCTAGCGGGGTGGCTGTAGATCATGCACTGACAGTAGTAGAGCTGGAAAGTTCGAGTGTGGGAGAATGAGGAAAGTGTCAACAAATACTTTGTTAGTCTAGTGCTACCCAAAATATTATTATTAATATTTTTGTATATTCATTTTGACCAAAGAAACACAACCTTAATGTTTTATGTGTGTGATCTCGTTGTAAGGCCTGTCTGAATTACAAGAGACAGGAGGAGAAAAAGTAGTAAGTGGGGATAAATAGGACCAGAGCTAGGGGATGAACATACATGTGTGGGGTGAGGGTCGAGTGGTAGGAGAAAATTCTTTTTTTTTCCTGTGTGTCTGTGTGTACATATAAAATTATTATTATTATTATGGGTTCATAATAGTTATATATCTTTATAGGGTACATGTGGAGTTTTGATATAGGTATACAATGTGAGTTAATGAAATCAGGGTAATTGGGGCATCCATCACCTCAGAAATTTATAATTGCTTTGTGTTAGGAACATTCCAATTCTACTGTTTTAGTTATTTTAAAGTATACCTTTAACTTAATGTTGATTATAGTCACTTTGTTGTTCTATCAAATATTGTTCATTCTATCTAACTATCTAAATATATATTTTATACCCATTAACCATCCCCAATTTATCCTCCACTCCCTGCTACCCTTCTCCCCTCTGGTAACCATCATTCTACTTTCTGTCTCCATGAGATCAATTGTTTTAATAGTTAGCTCCCGCATGTTAGTGAGAACATGCAAAATTTGTCTGTGCTTGGCTTATTTCCCTTAACATAATATTCTCCAGTTCCATCCATGTTGTTGCAAATGGCAGAATTTCATTCATTTTGTGGCTGTATAATATTCCACTGTGTATATGTACTATAATTTCTTCATCCATTTATCCATTGATGGACACTTCTGTTAATTCCAAATCTTTGTTATTGTGAATAGCACTATAATAAACATGGGAGTACAGAGATCTTTTTGATATACTGATTTCCCCTCCTTTGGATATATATCCATCAGTGGGATTGCTGGGTCATATGATAGTTCTATTTTCAGTTTTTTGAGGAATCTCCGTACTGTTCTCCATAGTGGTTGCACTAATTTAAATTCCTACCAACAGTGTATGATGTTTCCCCTTTAGGAGTAAAATTCATGGTGGCAACAGGCTAGAGAAAGATAGCTCACCCCAGGGTTGATGTGCAAGGGACCAGATCTTGGTGTGCATGTATGTGTGTGTAGTAGAGTGAGGTGATGGGATATACAGATGGTCCCTGACTTGCAGTAGAGTGACTTAGGATTTTTCAACTTTAAGATATTGCAAAAGCAATATTCTTCCTAAATGAGGAAGAACCATTTAGGAAGAACCTTACTTTGAATTTTTATCTTTTCTGGGGCTAGTTATATGTGGTATGATACTTCCTTGCAATGTTGGGCAGTGGCAGTGAGCCATAGCTCCTAGTCAGCCATGCAGTCACCAAGGTGAACAAACAACCAATACTGTACAACACTGTGTGGTCACATGATTTTGCCCAGCTGTAGGCTAATAAGTGGCCTGAGCTCATTAAATGTAGGCTAGGCAAAGCTATGATGTTCGTTAGGTTAGGAGTATTAAATGCATTTTTGATTTAGGATATTTTTAATTTATGATGGATTTATCAGGCTGTAACCCCATGTAAGTTGTGGAGCATCTGTACATGGTAGCTAGGGCCCCTGGGTTACTGCATAGGTGGGTGGGGACTGTTTAAAGTCATCGTCCATTCAAAGCAATCTAAGCTACTTCAGGGCTGGGGATGTGAAGTCAAAGTTCAGTATTTAGGTTTGGGGAAGGGGATTGATAAGAGTTAAGCAAAGTGTTTATGCCCAACTGAGCAGGCTGAGAACACAAAATCATCAGTGGAATACCACATAGAATGCTCTTAATAAATGTTGGATGGCAGGATGAATGGGTGGATGGATGTATGGAACCAGGCAAGGCAGAATCATACAAGAAACTGAGGCAGGTGAGCAGTCATGTGTTGTGGTCATGGGTGGATGGGTGGGGAGGGTGGTGAAGCCTGTGGCTTTGTGTGCATGTGTGTGTCCACCTGTGTCCATGTCCAGGAGTTCAGACCAGGCCGAGGACACCAGCGCTCTCTCTCCAGATCTTCTTATTGGCGGGGAAGGAGCTCCAGAGTTGTTACCAAACTTGGTTGGAATGATTGAGCTTTGATTGAATGTCTTCCAGAAGTGCAGCTGAGTGGGACTAGGGATAGTATGGACCAATATTTAACTTCCTAAGTGATCATTGTGAACATGTTCCTTATTTTGTGATATACTGGAACTTCTCTAAATTAAATATATTATCATATTGATGATGTATCCTCATCTTTTATCAAGTATAAGTATGCATATATTTGTTAAATGGAAGCAGAGTGTTGATATAGTTATAACCTGAAGTTTTAAAATTAATTGTAATTTTTAGCCATTTCCCTTGAAATATTCTTCAAAACAGTATTTTTAGTAGTTGTATAATATCCCACCCTATGGCTACATTGTAATTTATGTGATTGATCTTTTTCTGGACTTGTGGGTTGTTTCAAATAACTTTTGCTAATATTCTAAAGTGAATATTGTTATAAACATATACTCCTGCTCATGTCTGGTTATTTCCTTAGGCTGAATTCCTAGTTAGGTAATTACTCTCTCAAAGCATATAAGCTTTTAGTCTACATGGCTAAATTGTTTTCTAGAAAGATATGGCAATTTACATTCTCATGAATAAAGTTTGAAAGCACCTCTTAATTTTTGTTTCTTGATTAGGGCTGAATATAATGTATTTCGAAATTTTTGCCATTTTTTATACTAAAAAAAATCTCAGTTTTATTATCAGCAACCTTCTAATGTGGAGTTAGATTTGGTATTTTAATCAGGTTGTCCTTATTAGAGAATTGCATGTGGATTGGGGCACTCCTTAAAACAGATGTGGAGAATGCAAGAAAGCAGAGAAAAGTGAATTCAATCAACGAAGGGTAAAGAGCTCTGCAGAGCATCTGCCTGCCCTCTAGAGCCACAGCGAAACCCTGACACTATTTTCTGAATTAGTAAGAAACCCAGCCTTCTGTGTTCTAAGAAAAACCTCATTTGGCAACTTTCACCCCAACATTATTTGTTTTATATGGGTATCTTTTTTGCTTAGTATTCAATAGATAAAAAAGTGGAAAAATGTTGGATCTCCTTGAAAAACAAGTACGTATATCCTGCACTCTTCCCATCCTCCGTCTGGAAGGAGGTGTTCTGGAAGAGGTTGTTGTGGGGAATTTGTATCTCAGGAAAGGGCTGGATCAAACGATCTTTTTCTTTGTATTTTGAGATCTGTGAATCAGTGTCCTCCAGCGTCAAGAATGTGAAGGGTACCCCTATTACAGTAGTCAAGTATGTTAGCAACTTTCTGGCACTCAAAGCGAGAATCACACCTCTAGGCCAAGGAGCCAACAGTAAGGAACTTTTCTGAAGAGGAGATGCTGGGCGTTCTATATGCTTGCGTGACAAATGCTAAAGGGAGCGACCAAGGGTATAGTTAGCACCTAGCGTGGGTCTGGAACTGGGAGATGCTGAGTAAATACCTGTGGAGCAAATGAATGTATTTGGATGTTGGCCCTGTGTTTTCCAAATATTTGCTGGTTCCCGACCAAGGGCTGGCAGGTGGTGCTGGAGACGCTGGCAGGCTTCTTCTCCTTCCCGTCCCTGCCATGTGTGATTGGCAGCTGGGAGGAACTTAGTCCCGGATTCTGGGTCTGGTTGACAGTGTTTTCAGTGTCACACTGTACAGAATGTTTTTGATTATTAGAGAACTTAGAGTAACACAGGAAAATAAAACTCGTCACTTTTTTCAAAGAGCAGTTGAAGATATTTCCATTTGTGAAACTCTAAGAGCAAGGCTCTTTATTCTGTCTGGGGCTGTCCTCTGGGTACAGAGGCATTCAGCTTTCTGATAAATATCCTCTCAAGTTGTCTGAGAACATCCCTCTGCTCATTACTAATTTATTTTATTGGATTCTTATATTAACAAAGTAACATATGATAGTCACAATAAGTTGCATCACATAGATCAATTTTTATGATCTAAAAATTTATGACCTTTCCTCCCTCCATGTCCAGTATCACCCCTATGGGATAGTTAATATTAAAGATTTAATGTGAAACCTGTGCCTTTCTTTTTCATATACAAATTTACATATATATCTGTAAATGTTTTGGTTTATGTGTTTTTTACTGTTTTTAAACCAAACAATGGAATTATACTATATGCATTACTCTATAACTTGCTTTTTTCACTTAACTCATATTTTTTTAACAGCTGCTCAATATTCTATAGAATGGATACATCATATTTTATTCATTCAATCCCTGTTGGGGACATTCAGGTTGTTTCCAACTTTTTTTTTTTTTTTTTGCTGATATGTAACACTCCATTTGACATCCACTGACCTACTGATGGTTTATTTTAGTTGAATGGAGTACTAAAAGTGAAATCCTGGACCAGTAGATACATACATGGGCTGCATGGGCTCCCAGCCCTTGCTTATCAAAGCAAACCCTTTTTTAACTGTATAATGGAATGATCACTTCTTTTGTGACAGATCATTGCCAGTAAGGAGTGACATCTGTCCCTTCCCAATTTTTGACACTCTGGGAAGAATCACAGAAAAATATTCCATGCTAGTTAGCGCAAAGCTATCAGACCAGACTGTCAACTCATCAGTGGAGAGACAGGCGAGAGTTGTGGTGAAGAGAATGAGGAGTAAGGGAGTTAATATGGATTCAACAGATGAGTAAAGCCCTTGTATAGTAAATACCATATAAGTATTTGCTATTGTGATTAATGCTTATTATTGCACACGGAGGTGGTATTACTGTCATGTGGTCACAAAGGAGGCGGCCTTTCTGGGAGAAAAGTGAAGAAACAAGGCTGGAGAAAGAAAAGCTCCAAAAGAAGTGGATAGAGTCACGGATCCTGTAGATCTTGTGAATATATTCTGATTTTCTAGCTGCTCCCAGGGAGCAACTCCTTTATATGTTTCTGTATATAGATTTCTAATTTTCTAAAATGAGAATATATATAAAATAAAAAAAAACAAACAGAAAAGAGCATAATAAAATTGATGATTTGGAAAAAAAATAAAATGAGAATATATTATTTTCTTTAATAGAAAAATAAAAATAAAATAGAGTACTTACAGACTATAACCAACAGAGCTATTACTATGGAAACAACCTAAATGATCTATGATGGGGATTGGTAAAAACAAAAATGAAACTATGGTATATCCATATAATGACATACTAGGCAATTATGGTGATCATAGTGTGAAATTCAAAGATATTCACTATATGTTGTTTAGTGGAAAAAAAGTAGAATAGGAAACAGAGTATATAATAAATCCTATGTAGCCAAAGTAAATATATGTAAACGTATGTATAAATATATACATTTCTGGGAGAATACAAATGAAAATGTTATGGGGAAAGAGATTATTGGCAATTCTTTTTTGTTTGTTTGTTTATCTGTGTTTTCTAATTTTCTGCAATAAAGCATGGATTCCCTACATAATAAGTGAATGGTTTATGTAACTTAAAAGAATAAACATCCAAAGACTATTATAGTGTGCTATGAGAGATAGTGGCAAATCGTGTATTTGTAAGCAATGTTGCCATCTGGTGGATCAAAAGAAAAAATCCATCCTCTTTATTTTTTATTTGGAATTAGGAAATGAAGGCCACCTACTGTGTCATGTTTCAGACAAATGCTTAGGCAATGATAGTGACTTAGCAGAAGTGTTCTTTGGATTCACATGAAAAAGTAGACCAGTGACTGAGTGAGAGCCCAATCATGGGTACAGCTGTTTAATTTAGTTTTATTTGTTAAAAAAATCTGTTTTAGGCCGGGCGCTGTGGCTCACGCCTGTAATCCTAGCTCTTGGGAGGCCGAGGCGGGCGGATTGCTCAAGGTCAGGAGTTCAAAACCAGCCTGAGCAAGAGCGAGACCCCGTCTCTACTATAAATAGAAAGAAATTAATTGGCCAACTGATATATATATAAAAAAAAAATTAGCCGGGCATGGTGGCGCATGCCTGTAGTCCCAGCTACCCGGGAGGCTGAGGCAGAAGGATCACTCGAGCCCAGGAGTTTGAGGTTGCTGTGAGCTAGGCTGACGCCATGGCACTCACTCTAGCCTGGACAACAAAGCGAGACTCTGTCTCAAAAAAAAAAAAATCTGTTTTAAATGTGTTTGCAGGCACACTTATCTATAAAGACAATTGTGAGTTATTCATTTTATGTATTATTTAGGGCAAAGATTTTATCCTAACATAACTCTTTTCAACCATTTGGCATAGTACCCAGCCCATAAGAACACTACAAAAATTTGTGGAATGAATGATTACCTCTGACTGACTTCATGCAACCCACAGTTGGTGTATTGTCATGGAATATAAATTTAAATATGAACCACTCACACTATTAGTTCTCTTGATATGCAAACATAAAATAATAAAATGCGTCACAAAGCCAGATGATGGCAGTTTATCTGCCATTTTGGATAAACTACTTCTCATCACCATAGGACTCGCTTCTTCCTTCCATTCAGCCCATGCACTGAATCTAACTTTTCTCACTCACCTTTATTATGCACATAAAAATCTAAATATTTGGACAGTATCTTTGTGGGAAAACACCGCTAATGTCTACCCTGCCCCATTATTTTAAATTTCCCAGAAAGCAGAGTGGCTGGATGTCTTGTTTATTTGGGTTGCTATAACAAAACACCATAAAGTAGGTTGCTTGTAAAAACAAAGTTTATTTCTCACAGTTCTGGAGGCTGGGAAGTCCAGGATTGTGGTGCTGGGAGAGTGGGTGTTTGGGGAGGGCCTGCTTCCTGGTTCCCAGATGGTGCCTTCTCTCTGTGTCTTCACATGGTGGAAGGGGCAGGGCAGCTCTCTGGGACCTCTTTTATAAGGGCATTGGTCGATTCATGAGGGCTCTGCCCTGTAACCTAATCACCTGTCAAAGGCCCTACCTCCTAATGTCATCACATTGGGGGTTACGGTTTCAGCACTTGAAATTTGGGGTGACAGAGACATTCAGACCATAGCACTGGTAGAGTGTTGCCTTTGAGAACTAATCCTTGCTTTTCTTACTGCCCTGCAGGTGAGCTGATCAACCTCGCCATGTACTGTGAGAGGATAAGGAGGAAGTTCTGGCCGGAGTGGCACCATGATGATGACAACACCATCTACGAGTCTGAGGAGAGCAGTGAAGGCAGCAAAACCCACACCCCCCTGCTGGATTTTAGCTTTTACTCAAGGACAGAGACCTTTGAAGATGAGGGAGCAGAGAACAGTTTTTCCAGAACCCCAGACACGGATTTCACTGGACACTCGCTCTTTGATTCTGATGTGGACATGGATGACTACACAGACCACGAACAGTGCAAGTGACGTCTGGCCTTGTTGACCCTCTTCCTTTGGAGCTGCAACTCCCTGGGGTCAGTCCAGTTTCCCAGGTAGAAATCCAGCTGAGCTGGGAGGAAATCTTCGTGCTTGGCACAGTTTTCACACGCTACCTGGACTATAGCCGCCTTATTTCTTTTTTGTACAAACAAAACACAGAACCATTCAGATGGCTCCATTTAAAACAAACAGGCAAAAAAAAAAAATATGTCAGCATGGTTCCTGAAATCCATTTTTGTTTTCATTAGAAAACTAATATTGTGTGGTAGAGCAGGTGAAAGAGCAGGTTGTCCACTTAGAGTGCTTATGTTGATCCTCTTTACCCTGAGGGCTTAGTTGCGAGATGGATTCTTGAACCTCCTTCATCCACCAGGGTTTGAAATAGTGAGAGATACCAGAAAAAATGCAGGAGATAAATGTTTTACGGTGGCTGCTTGTATTTTATGTGTGTATATTGTATGTTGAGACATAAGTCAAATAAAATTCACAGATATCCAGTGAACACCTACTATGTGCAAAGCACTGTGCTAGGTGCTAATCAGTATAAGTTTTATTCTAAAGCCTCCAGTGACAGCTGTGTGATTTTGAGCAAGTCCCTTAACTATTGTGTGCCTCATTTCTCCCACCTGTAAAGTGGGGATGACAATACTCTCCACCTACCTACCTCACAGGGGTGTTGTGGGGATTCACGTGGTAACATTCGTACAGTGCTTTAAACCTCTTGGAAGTGGTGCGACATCAATACGACATTTTATTCTTTATTGCGCCTCGTGTGTGTGAAGATTTGAGGGCAAAGGATTTCCTATCCAGGCAACAATAACCACAGTCACTTGTAAAAGCCCATCAGATGAAACACACACAAAGGCACAGTTAGGACTTTGCCATCATTCCTCTCTGTGATCTTGTTTGAATCAAAATCTTTTGTTGAAAGAACATTGGAAATATTTTTACAAATCATCAACAGGTACAAATGGTCTTCAAGTCTACTGTGTATTTGCAGAAAATTGTTTCTTTCGTTGCCTGAACTCATACTGGAATGTCGTTCTTTGTTGACTCCAGAGTGTTAAGTTGCCTGTGTTTGATTTATGCGGACAGAATAAATCTCAGGAATATGGTGGGTTTAATAGAGGTGAAGGGGGAAATATTTCATTGGTTTTTGTAAGCAGAAGCTTGCCAACTTGTAATATCTTTTTGAAAACAAACCTTGCAAAGATGTATTGAAAAGACGAAGTAGGAAGAGGATCATGCCACTTGTATCAAAGCACTCCGTGCAGTGATAGACTATATGCAGTTTTATGAATGCAACTTTCCTGGTGTTTTCAGCCATTGCCCAGTGAGAGGAGGGCAATGCCAAGGACAAATCTCAATGTTTCTTCCATCCTTTCCCTGTCCCCCTCTCCCTCCCCATGGGACACATGAACTGTTGGGTTACCTGTATTTGTGAATGCACTGTATCTTCGAAGACATAGTTTTTGTCGACTTAGAATATTTTCCAGGGAAATATGGGGGAAAGATCTTGAAAGGCTGTGAATTTGGGCTAGGAGAGCCAGTGTTAAGATTTACAATTGCAGACAAAACTACTTTGCTCTGACTGACTGCGTAAGGATTGCTTGTTATGGGGTTAAAGAGGCGCTTCTTAAAAGATGGGAACTGGTGATAAATTCACGCACTTTACTTCAAAAGACTCCCTTGGAATATAGTTTTTGCTAAACAATCTTAAAAGACTACTGTGGATTCACAAAGAAATGGGGGAGGGGGAGTTTTTGAGGCTGTTTGCCACTTAAGCAATTGTAGGGATATGTATCTGGGAATAAATGCTAAGATACCCTAAGTTAGAAATTCTTACTCCATGGAAAATTTAACTGTTAATTTCTTATCATAGCCATTCCTATTTAAGAGGCCTGATGAGAATGTGGGGAGAAGATGTGAATGGATCAGCTTTGTTTGAGTGTCTGGCAGCACTTGGGAGGGCCGTTTGCCACCCCTCTCTCTGGCGAGCATGTTCTAAGGCCAGCTGGTGGCACTTCTGTGTGACGAGGGAAATTCTCAGGCTGCGAAGTAAATATGATGAACAGGTGGACTGCAGATATGTTTCCACAAAGACTTGGGTTGCCCTTTCCCCACCCTCAGCTGCAAAGAAATGTATTTGACATTTTTCCTACAGTTCATTCTTACTGTATAGCACCAGGTATGATGCATTTTCACTCCAAGAATGATTAAGTTATGTGTATGTAGATTCATATATATATATTTTATTTTGCATTACTTGGAGGGCAATATGTGGAGAGCCAGTTTTCAAAGTGCAGTTGTAAAACAATACATTCCATCCGGGTACCTCCCACAGGTGCGTGAATGGACATTGCCACCTGGAGTCTTGGGTACTGGCCTGTTGCTTTACAACTGGGCACTCAGCATTTTGTAGCTGTCAATTCAATTTAGAACGCTAGAATATACCCCAGCTTTCCTTCCCCAGATGGGCTATAGGAACTAAGTGATGAAGGCAAACTTACCAGGATGTAGATTTTTATTGGGAGGGCTTTAATTTTATGTACTTCATTCTTAAGCTACCCAGATTTGAACTGTTCTCCAATTTGATGCACTGGTGCTACTTACAAGGAAAAACAACAGCAAGAAATTAGGGGACATTTTTGTTATTTGGCTTATTTGCCCAAGTTCTGTTTTTATTTTTTGCTGGAAAGTAACTTGCCAATGTTAACAGATGTTTTGTGTTGGACAAAACACCCATGGGCCACCTGTTCTTTTATACTTCTCATTGTGCAAATAAATTCTGCCCCTGTATCTGCCTCCCTTTACCCACATCACGCCCCTACTCACCAAGATTAATGAGCAGCAGCAGTATGCTTTACTCTCCATTAGAACAGATATAAGGGAAATATGAATTTATGCAAAGATCATCTATATTGCTAGAGTCTACCATTTTGTTGTTGCTACATAATGAATTGTGAATAGTGACACTACCAAAGCCGTGGGCCACCCAGAAGACTAATCACAGACTTAGAGCAATGCAGACTTAAATCACTACTACAGTCTAGTCCTCATGTGAGCCCTGCCATGCATACTAAGCCATTAGAATATGTTTTTGTGAAACAGCTAAGGTTCAAGGAAGGGAAGTGCTAAGGATTTTAGTCTCATAGGTCTTGCCTAGATTTGTTCGAGAGAAATTGTAGAATCATGGAAATGTTTAGCTGAGCTGAGGATTAGCTCAGTGTCCTATACACATTTATTTGAAGGGCAGGACCCAGAACTGAGGTCTTTCACCTTGCCCTAGGTGATTCTTTCCATTACACCATCTTGAGTTGGTTTTCTTATAAAACCCATGCTCTCTGGGAAGTCACTCCATGTTCATAGAACCACCACACCCCCAGCCTCTCTCAGAGTGTGCTTGGAATCCTCCCTTGCTCTTATCCCCACGTCTAGTCAGCCTGGTTCAGGCCAATTCAAGAGAACTTTCTTCAGTGTCTGCTCTGTGCAAGGCACTGCTGGGCTCCGTGAATAATAGCAAGATGGATTTCCCAAGTGCCAAGACTCCTCATTCTTTCTTAGGACATTTTTCTTTAAAGAATGCATGCCCATACTTCACTCCCTGAATATTTACTGAGCACCTGCCCTGTGCCTGGCCTCGATCTATACTGGGTATAGAGTAGCAAACAGAACAGACATAGAACTCTCACTTCAGGGCATCCTCTTTTGCCTAAAATTCTGCCCTAGCCTCTTTTACATCCTTGGCCACTTCCTTGATCCATTCCACCCACCACCACTGGAGTAATCTTTCTAAAAAGCTCTCTGGCCCTGATGGGATGCCACATTGCCTCAGGATGGGGGTTACTCCTTAGAGCCTGGTATACTCACTTCTTTATTCACTTTGTCTCCCATGGCTCTTCCACAGGAGCCACCTGGTACAGCCAGGTCGACACTTTGCCATTGCCTAAGCAAGCTTCACATGCCCCCACCTCTGGGCCTCTGCTCCTGCCAATCCCTTTCCTGAAATGCCCTATCCTCCACTCCACTGGCAAATAATCCTCATCTTTCAAGGCCCAGCTTCCTCAGTTCTGCATGAAGCTTGCCCAGCTCATTATCATCTCTTCCTCTAAAGGCAAAACACTCATCATTTCCTTTCCCTGAAGGCTGCATGGAAAAGATAAGCTCAGAAAGTCAACCATACACTATAAAATAGTGCTTTTAAGTTTTTATTTTTTCTGTCAGGGACTCTGTTGATAATCCAATGAAAGTCCTATACTCTTTTCCCAAAAAAACAAATATATGCAAATATATAAAATTTTACATATAAATTCAGGAGATTTAAAGACCTCCTGAAGTTATGAATTCCTAGGGGGTTCATGGACCCCCATTGAAGAAGTCTATTTCCAAAGAATCTTTAAATGTTATTGCTGACAGTGTCTGTTCTTGTCTTTAACATGTCCGGACAGGAGATTTTGGTATGGGACATGCAAGCAAAAGTAATCTCTGTTATTATCCACATTGAGTATGTCTTGAGTGACAGAAGGGAAGAAAGAAGAGCTGTTTTACATTGAGAAAAAGAGAGGTTTGAAATTTTGGTAAGCTTTTATTGTTGTTGTTATAGTTGTTTATATTTTAACCACTCAAAAAGTTGACTTATCAAAATGAGTTCAGGGCCAAGTGAGCTTCATTTCAGCTCTGCAACCCAGCACTTCTGCATGGGAGGCCAGCTGGCCTGGGGCTTCAGAAGGGATAAGACAGGCTGGATTTTTCCTTATGGAGACAGATCTGCACAATCAGGTTTTCCTGTATTCATTCATTCATTCATAGAGCAATGATTGAGTGTATTTCCAATAAAAGGTTGGTGCCTTTTGTTGATAGGGAACAACTCAGGTTATTCCTGTTCCTTTTTTTTTCTTTTTAAACAGAGTGAAGTTATTTATATTGTTCCTGACTATGATCCAGGATCCTTTGTTCTCCTTTATGTGCAGTGCTATTCAAGTCGCACAAGAACTGAGGAAAGTATATTCAATGACAAGTACTTCTGAGTTTAAACGCTTAGCTCTGACAACCCAATTTTAACAGGCCCAAGGATCAGCTGCATGTGATTGTGAAGAGCTTGACCTTTGTTCAGTTGCTTCCAGTGGTCTGGATGATGCTTGCAAAGTTCAAAAGGATCCCTTTGGTGGGTGTGCAGAGAGATGTCTCTTGCCTGTAGGACTCTTGCTTGGGTCCAGGGGTAGAAGCAAACATATGCGGGATGTTTTCCTCATTTGAGTTCCTTACCAGGAATTTAGGTTTATGGTCCTTGACTTTCAAGAATTTCTTAAAAATATTTAAGTTTCCTTAATCTTTAAGATAAGATTGCTGGACCCAGCAACATATTGGCTTGCCTCTTACAGATGGTTATGGAAAGTAATGAAATATAGCTTAAAGGAAAGGGACTCAGTTGTTTTGGAACATTCTGGCTCTTGCCAAAGCAGGGAACTTGTCCCTGGACCTAGACTTTCAAAAT